AACTTTGGATAAAATGTTTCTAATACTTGTATTTTCTTTACTGTTTTGGTGCTTAATTACCCTGTTGTTTTGATAAACGGAAGTCCATCAATGATGCAGATCCACACTTCCAAGAAAGCATGTGTAGCAGTTTATCCAAGCACAGTGCATCATGACATGGTGTGGTTTTGGCCGAACTCCGATCCACAATACAAAGATATCATTACTAAGAAGCAACCTCCCTCCATCCCAGAATTGGATGATCCATCATTTATCAAGTTAACTGGTTGTAGAGATATTCCTTATGGGTATGCAAATTTGTCATCTGCACTCAAATAATGCTGACAAGAATTAGCTTCCATTTGAAACTATAATTGTAACCGTTGAAAGATAAAAAGTTGATGATTTTTTCTTCGCTTCTCTAAACTACATTCCAGATATGAAGTCTTGATTGAAAACCTGATGGATCCTGCTCACGTTCCCTATGCCCATTACGGAATTATGAAAACAAGACCAACGAAAGGTATGTTAAATTTTTGGTTTGAATCGTGTTCCCTATGCATTGTGTTACATTCTCTTTGTTTATGAGTTTCATTTGATTGAAACGAAATTTTTTTCTGCAGTGAAAACGGATAGAGAAGGGGGTAGCTCGGTTGAATTGAGTGTTACGAAACTAGGCATGGATGGTTTCGTTGGAAATCAAAATCAGTTTGGTGCTAATAAATTTTTCGCACCATGTACCTCTTATGCTTACAGCAGTCCTGTGGTTGATCAAGGTGATGATATTGCTTCATCGGCTGGAACAGAAAAGGCAAGCATTTACTTGATAAGAGATGTGAAATGAGAGTATGACAGCATGTCATTCTATAATGAAATGAAAGATACGAGGTTAATGGTTTCGATGTGTATAATTCGAGAGTCGGTGGAACCGTTACCTGGGCATCCATGACTTTGTTTGCATAATCACTTAAACAGCCTACTTACCAGTTCAGTAGATTGTCGATCTTTCTTCGCAAAAAGAACGACACTACCTATTTTAGAATCAAAATTCAATGCTATTCTATGATTTTTGATAATTTAGCTTCCTTTATTTATGTGGTTAATTACTTGCTCTTGTCTCCTTGTCATCTGTTTTCATAAAAAATTTCTTGGTGCAGCAACAGAGAGAGGCCTTAGTTTTCTTTTGCATTCCAGTAAGTCCAGGAAATAGCAGATTGATATGGATCTTCCCAATGAACTTTGGGGTTTGGATTGGCAAAGCTCTGCCGCGATTTTTGTTTCATTCAGGACTAAACCTAATTCTGGACTCAGACCTGTATCTCCTTCATCTTGAGGTAACATTTCTGTTTACGAAAATATAATTCTCTTTGGTATGTTGTGACCTGATTTACTATAGATAACTGTGTAAGACTACTAGATCAATCCTGTAGAGTAAGTTTCGTGGAAATCTGGAAGTATTTTCATTATTTACGTTGCAAATCTATTTCATCCACCACTTCTATGGAATTTTATTTGATAAGACAGAAACTGCTAGGAAACATGTATCCCGCAAGGACTACATATTTATCATAGAATGTTAAAGCCTAGACTCTGCAATCTTTAACTGACCCCAGAATTCTCTTTGCAGGAGCGCAAGATCATGGATATCGGCCCTGCCAAATGGCAAAAGGCTTGTTTTGTGCCAACAAAAGCAGATGCCTTCGTGGTTGGTTTCAGAAGATGGTTAAACAAGTATTCTGGTGGTCAGGTTGATTGGAGGGGCAAGTACAGCGGGGCTCTTCCCCCAACTCCTCCTAGGGAACAGCTCTTGGACAGGTAATGACTGCTACAACTACAGATGTGTTTTCAAGATTGCAGTTTGAGAAATTTTCTGAATTCTTTCCTAAATTTGGGAACTGCTTTCTCAGGTATTGGTCGCATGTCGTAAACTGTCGCAGTTGCAATGCTGCATACAAGGGTCTCAATGCACTAGAGGTGATTCTGCAGGTTGCTTCTCTTGCTTTCATTGGGATAGCTGCTGCAACCAAGCAGAATTGCTATATAATGGCAACTACGGCAGTCGTCTGCTTTGCAGGTTCAAGGTGGTTGAATCAATTCATCTACAAGAACTTCCACTACCATGACTACAATCATGCTTTTCACTGACGTACATGTGCTGAAAAAATGGCTTAAATGGATCAGTGAATGCCTGACCTTACAATAGATGGTTGACATGGCTTTCCAAGTCACAACAGAATTTTCCTGCTTTCATGTGTTTTCTGTGGTTGGTGTTTCAAAGGCTCTAGTGATTCCTAGAGGATAATTTGTGTTTCATTTTGAACAGAGTTGAATTCTGGATTCAGATATCTATTGACATAAAAAATCCCGTCAGGAAACCATGACAGGTTACCTAATAATTTCTGAAAAGGATAGACGAAGTTCATTTGTCCATCAATTTGGCATCTCTTTTTTTCTCAGAGGTATAAATCCGCCTTCAAAACCAATGGCCTTCTTTATGTTTACCACTCACTAGTCATGAAAAATGTCCATTCAATGATCAGATATGTTCATGGGATTAGGTTTGAAATGGGTTAACTTCTTCAAACAAGAAGTCCTACTTGTAGCATGGTAGGCCCCCCATTGTTGAGTGATTCTTCAACCCTGATCACCGCAAGAGAATCTGAGGAAAGCTTTATTTCAAAAGAAGCTTTGCCGGTAGTGGCAGGGAGAGAAGGTTGGGGCAAATTCTCTTCACCAAAGATTTTAGGTAGAGTAGTACAGTAAATGTTTCAGATTCATTTAATCACAAGTTAGATTCTCATTTAGAGAAGGTTCATTCCTTTTTTTAATAGCACTAGACATGAATCCTTGTTGAACTTAAAGAATACGATTTTAAACTAAAAAAAAAATTCTTAAAATCAATAAAAACTAACATGTTCGATAAATTTAATATGAATGAATACGATTTTTAAAATTGATAAAAAATTAAGTATGATCTGATAAATTTAATATAGATTAATGTAAAAATTGATTAAAAAATACTCATTATATATATATATATGAAAGGAATCACTTCACTGTATGGAACAAAGATCAAATCTTCCTAAATTGTGAGTTAGGTGAAAAAGGTTTGAACTAACGAACGTCTACAGATAGGTGGGACATATCTTGGTGACTTTCAACTCCTTCCTTATAGCAGCAATTTTGACAACAAACGTGGATTTGGTAGCTTAAACAGCTAGTGGTGGGTTTCCTAAAATTCCAAACCATTTGGACGTTTTAGAGGTTATAATCAATGAGCAGATTCCAAAAAACATAGTGGATGCTTGTCCTACCCTACCAGTGGGCACGAAAAGTTTGTCTTAAGACAAGTGCCGAAGAATTCAGACACCTTAAGTGGTTGGTAGAAGTCGCTGTCTGGGGAGGCATTTTCAGAGGTGTTCTTCCACAAGAACAATTGGTGGCCAGACTGCATTGGAAAAAGTTAAAAAGAGTTAATAGGTTGTTGAGTATGGTATTTGATGGGTTTTAAAAAAGAAAAAGGCATAAATAAATCAAGAACTTGCAGCTCAATGATAATAATCTTAATTTTGGATTTTAATTTTTTAAATTTTATTATTTTTTTGAGTTTTACTTCGTACTTTAGTTTTCTATAAAAAATAAGTCACATAACTAGTTTTATAATAAAAATTATTTAACAAAATTTGTATTGAGCTCTCCAAAAAATCTGTAATAATTTCAGATTAATTTTTTTTTATTTTTTATTTTTTTAATGTTTAGAAATAAAATAATATATTTTTCGATCTTAAAAAATTATGGGATTTTTTTTTGAAACATTATGGGACTCTCATGTCAACATACTTTTTTCATATGTATTCATGCAATTTTTTTTTTTTTTGCTTTATTATTATTTTTTTTTTTGATTTAATTTCCGCATAGTTTTGGCTATTCTTAAATTAAAAAATTACCTTTGAAACTGGATTACTTCATGTTATATCACAAAGTTAACAAATCCAATTACCAGAAATCCACTATAACAATTGATTGTGTGGATTTAGAAAGATGAAAATTTTACTCTTAAAAAATTAAAGATAATACATTTATTGTGAAAATCAAATAAATTCAACCACTAAATATAACATTATTCTTTTATAGTATAGTATTAGATATAGATCTAGATATTGATGCATAAATAAATAAGATATAAATACTTACAACTCAAAACTTGAAAAAAAAATTCTTTTTTTATTTAATGATAAAAAATAATCTCAAATTGATTAATACGTCATCCAATTATTATTATTATTATTATTTTACTTCGGTCTAGTGCATTAAAATAAACTTAATAAACCCTCTATGGATGGTTAATCTATCATTATTGAACCAAAGAGCTTATAGCTCAGTGATAATAGTCTTTTGTGATAAGAGCTTACGAGTTTAAATCTTAACAAACTGATTTTATTAGGAATTTAGTGTGAGTTAAAAAGAAAAAAAAATCCATCACTATCGACGAATTCAAAAAATAATATGACAAGAAACCCACAAATGAAGATTAAAATTAGTACTTCTTGTTTCAAAAACTATTATTTAATTTTTTAATCAATATTGATCATATTTAATTTAATATTATTTTTATTTCATAAAATCTTTTATTTTCCCATCAATATTTTTCATATTTTTATTTTAAAAAATAAAAATGAGAAAAAAAATAAATTACAAGTAGATTTCAAAATATACGGATTAAATAATTACTTTTTGAATTGAGAGGGACTAGTTAATTTGTTTCTTGAAACAGAAGGGACTAATTTATAATTTACTCCACAAATAATACTTGTTCGCTTTCAAGTACTTGAGTTTAGTGCATGCAAATTGCTTCTGTTTGCTGCGTTCGCCCACTCACCTCTCTCGTCTCTTTCTGAATCAAAAAGATTAGAGCTTCAAATTCAAGAGTAGACCATTTCACAATATCATACTCAGCTGTCCTTACACGTTGAACGTTTCAATCTTCAAGCTCTCTAGCTTCGGCTCTAAAAGAAGTAGCCATGGAAGTTCTAAGAACTTCCTCAGTTAAATCAATTCACATCCCAAATTCAGTAAGAAAAAACCAATTTACCAAACTCAAGTTTTTAAGTTTTCAGTTTAATCCAACACCAATTTCATCTTTCTCAAGAATTCACAAGAAAACACCTTCAAAATCCAAGCTTTTCACAACCTTATCATCATCACCATCCTCTGTTTCAACAGGAGCACACGAGCCAGAACTTGAAGCTGACTCCCAAGGAGAGAAGTTTGATTGGCATGCACAGTGGTATCCGGTTATGCTAGTTTGTGATTTGGACAAGAGGGTGCCACATGGAAAAAAGGTGATGGGTCTTGATATTGTGGTGTGGTGGGATAGGAATGAGAGTAAATGAGAAGTCTTTGATGATGCTTGTCCTCATAGACTGGCTCCATTATCTGAAGGAAGAATTGATCAATCGGGAAGGTTGCAGTGCGTGTACCATGGTTGGTGTTTCAATGGCTCTGGTGACTGCAAGTTCATCCCTCAAGCTCCACCAGATAGTCCTCCAGTAATTATCCTAAACGATAATAGCTTCTATAGAACTTCGGATAAAATGTTTCGTGTTTTCTTTATTGTTTTGATGCTCAATTACCCTATTGTTTTGGTAATTGGGAGTCCATCAAATGCTGCAGATCCACACTTCCAAGAAAGCATGTGCAACAGTTTATCCAAGCACAGTGCATCATGACATTGTGTGGTTTTGGCCGAACTCCGATCCGCAATACAAAGATATCATTACCAAGAAGCAACCTCCCTTCATCCCAGAATTGGATGATCCATCATTTATCAAGTTTACTGGTTGTAGAGATATTCCTTATGGGTATGCAAATTTGTCATCTGCCCTCAATTATTGCTCGAAAGAATTAGCTTCCATATGATGCTTGTTAGAGTTGTTTGATAAAAAGCTGATGCTTTTTTCTTCAATTCTCTGAACTACTTTCAGATATGAAATCTTGATTGAAAACCTGATGGATCCTGCTCATATTCCCTATGCACATTACGGAATTATGAAAACACGACCACCAAAAGGTATGCTAAGGCATTGTGCTTCATTCTCTTTGTTCATGAGTTTCATATGATTCTAACTAAAAAAATTTCTGCAGTGAAGGCTGATAGAGAAGGGGGCGGCCCATTTGAATTGAGTGTTACAAAACTAGGCCTAGATGGTTTCATTCGAAATCAAGATCAGTTTGGCGCTAATAAATTTTTCGCACCATGTACCTCTTATGCTTACAGTAGTCCTGTGGTTGATCAAGGTGATGATATTGCTTCATCGGCTGGAACAGAAAAGGCAAGCATTTACTTGATAAGAGACGTGAAATGATAGTATGATAGCATGTCATTCTATAATGAAATGAAAGATATAGAACTGCATAAGGCCCATGGTTCGATGTGTAAAATTTGAGAGCCTATGAACCGGTATTGTTTGCATCATTGATCATCCACTTAAACAGCCTACTAACCAGTTTACTAGATTATCGATATTTCTTCGAAACAAAGAATGACACTACCTGTTTTAGAATCGAAATTCAATGCTATTTTATGCTTGTTGATTATTTGACTTCCTTTATACATGTGGTTAATTACGTCTCTTGTCTCCTTGTCAACTGTGTTCATTAAAAAAAAAATTGGTGCAGCAACAGAGAGAGGCTTTAGTTTTCTTCTGCATTCCAGTTAGTCCAGGGAATAGCAGATTAATATGGATCTTCCCAATGAACTATGGAGTTTGGATTGGCAAAGCTATGCCCCAATTTTTGTTTCATTCAAGACTAAATCTAGTTCTGGACTCAGATCTGTATCTTCTTCATCTGGAGGTAATACTTCTGTTTATGAAAAATAATTCTCTTTTGTATGTAGTGAGCTGACTTATTATGGATAATAAGACTAATAGATCAATCCTGTAGAAAGGTGAATCAATGTCAAGTAGAGTAAGTTTAGTGGAACTCTGGAAGTATTTTCTTTATTTACATTGCAAATCAATTTCATCCCCCACTTCTATGGAGTTTTATTTTATAGGACAGCAACTGTTTGGAAACATGTGTCCTTGAAGGAGTGCCTATTTATCATAGAATGTTGAAGCCGAGACTCTGCAAGCTTTAACTGACTCCAGAATTCTCTTCACAGGAGCGCAAGATCATGGATATCGGCCCTGCCAAATGGCAAAAGGCCTGTTTTGTGCCAACAAAAGCTGATGCCTTCGTGGTTGGTTTCAGAAGATGGTTGAACAAGTATTCTGGCGGTCAAGTTGATTGGAGGGGCAAGTACAGTGGGGCTCTTCCCCCAACTCCTCCTAGAGAACAGCTGTTGGACAGGTAATGACTGTTACTTACAACCCCAACTAAGTCTTCAAGTTTGCAGTTTGACAAATTTGCTTACTTCTTTTCTGAATTTGGAACTGCTTTTTCAGGTACTGGACCCATGTGGTAAGTTGTTCCAGTTGCAGTGCGGCATATAAGCGTCTCAATGCACTAGAGGTGATTCTGGGGGTTGCTTCTCTAGCTCTCATTGGGATTGCTGCTGCAACCAAGCACAGCGTCAATACAATGGTTGCAATGGCAGTAGTATGCTTTGCAGGTTCTAGATGGTTAGTTCACTTCATCCACAAAACCTTTCACTACCGTGACTACAATCATGCTTTTCACTAAAGTGTTTTGAAAAGGCAGCTCAATAGGGTGGTGAACACATGATCTTCCAAACGATTTGCCGACAGTACTGAGTAGCTCCTGTTTGAGTACTTTTTCTGGTTGATATGGCTTTCCAAGTTAGAGAAGAATTCTTCTGCTCTCATACATCGTTGTGGAGTAACCTGTGACAGCTAAATAAACTCTCTGTGAGGCAGTGGCAGTCTCAAGTAAGGCTCCCAGTTTGTGAGTGAGAAGTTTTTGTAAGAATTTATTTGAAGTTTGTACTATTATTAATGCTACTGAAGTACGCCTTATATTTTGTGGTTTTTGCCTTAGATGGAAACCACGGTAGGTTACCTCATAATTTCTGAAAAGGATAGACGAAGTTCATTTGTCCATCAATTTGGCATCTCTTTTTTCTCAGAGGTAAAAATCTGCATTCAAAGCCCATTATTCTTTATGTTTACCACTCACTAGTCATGAAAAATGTCCATCCAATGATCAGATATGTTCATGGGATTAGGTTTGAAATAGGCCAACTTCTTCAAACAAGAAGTCCTACTGGTAGCCTGGTAGAGCTTCCTCGTTGTTGAGTGACTCTTCAACCCTGACCTCAATAGAATCTGAGGAAAGCTCTATATCAAAAGAAGCTTGACCGGTAGTGGCTGGGAGAGAGGTTTGGGGCTAAGGCCTTTAGCTATCAGAGTTTCACTCTCGTCTTCACCAAAGGTTTTAGGTGGAGTGAAAAAAATGTTTATAGTTCATTTAATCAGAAGTTCTATTCCCATTATAGAATGTTCATTTTTTTCTTTTTAGTGGCGCTAATACTCAATATATATATATATATATAAAGGAATTTACTTCACTAGATGGAACAAAGATCAAATCTTCCTAAAATGTGAGTTGGGTGAAAAAAGTTTGAACTAATGAGCCTCTACAGACAGGTGGGACATATCAAGCAGACTTTTAACTCCTTCCTTATCGCAGCATTTTTCACAAATGCCGAAGAATTCAGACACCGTAAGCGGTGGGTAGAAGTCGCTATCTGGTGAGGCATTTTCAGTGGAGCAGTTCTTCCACGAGAACGATTGGTGGCCAGACTGTGCAATTAAGAAGCTAAAACTTTTCAGTTTATTTACTTTTCAACTTTTTGGAAAAAGTTAAGTGTTAATAGATTGTTGAGCAGGGTATTTGATGGGTTTCGAGAAAGAAAAGGCATAAAAAAGAGTTAATAACTTAATCTATCTATATATAATAAATTAATTATTTAATTTATTTTTATATTTTTATTTAAGTTAATATTAATTTTTAACATACTTTAAGTTTCTAATCCACTATTTTATTAAAATTTTCAAATCAAATTATCATAATTATTCATGTGATTTATCGAGAGTTATTTTCTATTTTCAAAGGTTATTGTAAGTCAATCAAATTGAAAATTTTTATTTATAAATTACGAAAAAAAACCAAGTCATTGATATCATTAAAATGTAAAAATCTAAATTATTAGTTTTTAAAATGAGAATGATTAATTAATTTATTTCTTGAAAGAAGAACTAATTTATATTTAACTCTAAAAGTTTGTAGCCAATGAAATCGAATCCTTAACATTAATAGTAAAGTGGAAGTGCTCCTCGTTGTTGAGACCCATTTTCTTCAATCATGATCCGGAGAAAGTTTCGTGTCAAAAGAAGCTTGACCTGTAACTGTAAGGGAGAAGTTTGGGACTAAGCTCTATAGCTATCGGAGTTTCACTCGCTTTCTTACCTGAATTGGAATCTACTTCAATGGATGGAGAAATCTTCCTAAATTGTCAATTCGTTGAAAAAAGTTAAATTAATGAATCTCATGGATAGGTGGGACATATCAAGCGATTTCAACCCCTTCTTTATAGTATCAATTCGACAACAGATGTGGATTTAGTAACTTAATATGACGGACTTGGCCTTTTTCTAGCTCATATGCGGTACTTGGCTTGCTTCTACTCTAAGTCAAACCGAATTAATTTTTTTCACATAAAGTTGTTAAATAAGAAAGACACATATAAGAGATAGAATAACTCTTTGTATTGGTCTCTAAAGCTTTATAACTCTAAGAATACATTTACCTTTTTGAATGTCTAGATGTCTTGGCTAAATGAAGGCCTCACTTATTTATATCCTTCCATCTCTTCAATGGATGGCTAGGATGATCTAATGGCTATAATTGATTCTCCGAAATTATCCTATCTAAATAGTTACAAAGAACAATCTAGATATGTACAAAGTTAGAATAATGAGGACTCTCTAGAATTCTTTAGGATATGTCTAGATTTCTCTTGGACATCCTAGAGGCTTCTCTATTGCTCCATAATCTTCTAGAGGCTTTCAAACTTATCTAGCGTTCCTAAGAACCTTTAGAAAAATTCCTCTTTTAAGTAGGGCATAACATTCTCCTCCACCTAATTCAATGACGTTCTTTACACACCTTCATTATATTCTTCGATCTTCCGTGCAAATTACCATAAGGCTTCAATAGGTTCCTAGCTAGCCTCGTTTTCCGGTAATCCCTTCCATTTCACATACGACTCCTTTTGGGTAGCACTCCACAACGTCCGATTGTTCGATCATCAAGTATGATATCAACTTCTTTGTCATATGAGTCAACCATCGTTGTAGGCATCCTATGAGAAACTCCTAGGCTTGGATCCTCCTTGTTCGCATGGTATGGCTTTAGCATACGTCGCGAATTGATGAGCCGCGATTGGCACGTAGCTCGAGATGAGGTGACCCACCATAGGCTAAGGTAGCCTTGATCTTTTCTCTATTTCCTACCAAAATTTTGGTAGCATTTCCCTTATAATTAGAGGGTCCCAAAAATAATATATATCCCGAATAAAAGTCCACAATATACATGCACTTTCAAATCATCTTCATCAATTCTCAATCATCATCAAGTCCCACTATTGGACATCCACACTTTCTCATAAATCTCATCACATACTAAATTAACTAACAACTATATAATTCAAGATTTAACATAAATGAATCAATAATTCACTATTTAACCATTCAAAATACATATATAAAGAACCTCAACTAACTAGCCCTAGATTTGGTGATACTACCAATGGAGCAACCGTAACCCCTATAAAAACCCTTATCCATAACGCAACGTGTATTAGAATAATTCTATATATATGTATATTAAGAGTAAGTGTAATTATCATTTCATCATGAGAAATTAATGCTTGAAATATGTGATTTATGTTAAATTAAAGTTATTGTACTTAAGATTAATGGTTTAATTATTAAAGAAATTAAATATGCAAAATCGGTGTTTTAAAGACTATATTCCGCTTGAGTTTTGTGTGAATTATTTGAGGCCTTTAGAGTAATTTTTTGGTCAACCTTAAAGAATGAAAGTTGTTCATCTATGTGTTTAATAGGCCTGTATAAATTTTATAATATTTAGACCTATACATTAAGATTTATACCAATTATAGTGAGGGTTGTTTCGAAATGCATTCTGCTGGAATTTTAGGAGAAAAATCTGCCCGAATCTTGTGAGATTTATTTGATGCTGTTAGATTGATTTTTGAGAAAAACGTAAAGAATAAAAGTTGTTTTTCTATATGTGTACTAGCTCTTTATAAAATTTTATAAATTTTGGATACATATAGAAAGAGTTATGCACGGTTTAGTATATATGGGTTAGGAGGAAATACTACTTGGAATTTTAGGGGGAAAAGAAATTCTGAATTTTTATGAAAGAAAGTAGTTTTAGTTACTTGAATTAAGTTAATTAATGATTTTAATTAGTCTAAATTTTATATAGATACCTAAGCAAATGCAATAAATGAATTTAATGCCAACTCACTCATTATGGATTCCAAAGCGACCGAACTTTCCTCATGACTCACCCATAACTTTTACACCTTATCCCATTAATTTCTAACACTTGTAGCTGAATGAAAGTAAGTATGTATATATATATATATAGCAAGTGTTAAAATAGTAGAAAAACTTTAGTAAACCGTAGGTACCAGAAATTAAGAGAGAAAAGGCAAGAAAGAAAAGAGAGGAAGAAAAAGTGAAGAGAGAAAGGAAAGGAAAGAAAAAGAGGACGGGAAAAAGAAAAGAAAAAGAGCTAAGGAAACTATAATCAAACCTAAAAGAGGTAAGTAGGTTTCATTTTCTTGGCTGATTAATGTCTTAAATTATATTTTTTAAGTTATTTTGTTAGTGTTTATTTCATGGATTGTAATAATCTTCATTGGTTATATGCTTGATGCTTGGGATAAATCTATGTATGGATGCCTTGTTGTGATGATTTATGATGTTATGATTTTTTTGTAAAATGTCCAAGTATGTGGTGATGGGTTGGATTGAACTTGGACTAAATTTAAGTGAACTAAACCATGTTTAAAGTTGGCTTGGTATGAACTAATAAATTAGTGTTGATAAGGAGTAAATTCTGTTCGAATTTTAGGGTACATGTTCAAGGATTTTAGGTCAATTTATAGATAAAACTTAAAGAATAAAAGTTGTTCCTCTATGTTTCAACTAACTCCCTTTAAAATTTCTTGGTCATTGGATTTGTGTATGAAGAGTTATACCCGATTTAGTATAGATAGCTCTAGATAAACTACTACTAGGCAGATTGCTCCCTAAGTTTCAAAAATTTGTAATTAATTGTGTACTTAGTATTTAGACCTAATTTTTGGATATGTTATAAATAAATATGTCTAGTATCTAAAATAAAATGAGTAAGATTTAATTATGTTCTGAAATTAGAAACTTATTTACTCGATTAGGAGTTACCCGGTAATAAACCCTAAAATCAAAAAAATGAGACTTGGACAAAATTAATAGGTTTGGAATAAACTCAATGAGCTTGGACTAAATAAAATGGAATTAAATAGATTCAATGGACCTATGATAAAGTTAATGGGCTCGGATTAAAGTAAATGGACTTGGGCATTCTTTTAAATATTAATGAAACTAATGAACAATATTAAGGAGTGGAGATTGTGTTCCCGCTATGAGTACCATGATTGGTATGTGAGCGACGGGTGAATCCCGAGTATTGGTTGAACCGTGCGTATGGCTTAAGAAAGAAGGGTTGGTACCCGAGTTTAGTTGAATGTGATTAAACATGTCATCATGTGCATCACGTGCATTGGGGGTGGAATAAGTTGAAAAAAATCATCGAGTCATGAAATGACACGATTTGGTAACCGAATTAAAAATAAATGGGTATTAGTAGTCCGAGTACTCTAGGTTGTGTGCTCGCACTATTAGACGATGGATTCTCGCTAATAGTAGTTACAACGAGGGGTAATTCCGTTGTAGCAAAAGATGATCCGAAGATCATCCGGATGAAATCAAGTTGTGTGCTTGTATTGTTAGACGATGGATTCCCGCTAACGGTAGTTACAACGAGGGATAATTCCGTTGTAGCAGAAGGTGATCCGCGGACCACTCGAATGATAAATAGAGTAGACCGGCTAATACCTAGTGGTACCCGAGATTAAAATTTATAAGTATGGTGGGAAGTCAAAACAACATTGCATATCACGTGCATCACCCCGCTTATCGAGCTTCGGCTCACCATGTTGTTATTTTTTTATGTCTTGACGGAAAAAGGACAAGTTGGTACGAATGCGGCTAGCTCCTCCTAACTCGGCTCATGTGAGGCACCATATATTAGTTTTTATTTTGTACGTAAATTTGGGGTATGGAGTTCGTGAGAAATTGAATATTACCCGTAATGTTTTATTAATGTATTTAATTATATTATGTAAATTTTATCTTAAGGAGTTATATACGTAATGTACTCGTTAAAATCCTAAGAATATCATAAGAGAACTACTTAGAGTTTAGGATATGTCGGCGTAACGCTCTTCGTCTAGTACTCTACTTGGGTAGTAGAAATATGATCGGAACGGAGGCGTTACAACGAACTAAGTGAAATAAAATGTATAATAATTGATTACAATTTCAAAATAGACAATGAATATAAATTTGAAACAACCATGTCCTATACTCGGAGGAAGCAAACTAATGTCCGGGTAGTACCTCCAAATCTCGAAAATCTATCATCCTCCTTCGTTATCTAGCTTTTGTATTATCTATAAAACATTTGAGGTCGGGGGTGAGTTTTCAAAACTCGATAAGCATAACACATATTATAAATCGCTATACATACAATTATGCCAATGCACCTATCATACATGATTTGCAACCAAGCAAGCCATCAATAACCCTTTATTATTATTATTATTAACAATTAATAATAGCATCCTCATTTGAAATCACTCTATGCGGAACTCGTTTATTCCTTTAGCCCTCAAAAGGGTAACTTTGGCCCTTGCAAGGGTAACTTTAAACTTTGGCCCCCGTATGGGTAAACTTTGAGGGAAGCATCGCGGCCATTCCCTAACCAGCAATACTAGGTGCACCTAAACTAACTATAACCCCGTTAGCTTAGTTAGTCCCGTATAGACTTTCTTTTAAGTCATCAATATCATTATTCTCATTCAGTACATATCAATCACACAATTCCATTTAATGCAATTGATCATCATCATATCAACCTACAAATATACCATTCAATGTACCAATATTGTCTTTAATAATCACAATTAATATGGCAACATACAAATTTAATTCATTTAGTTTACGGTAAGAACACCTATTCAACTCACATCCATTTATCCATATAATCAATTATCCACCTAACAAGTAATATAGACATATATGATAGTAATCCATTTATCCATACAATCAATTATTCACTTCACAAGCAATATAGACAAATATGATAGTAAATACTCATAATAGGTGTTATACTTACCTCTAATCTAGATGAGCACTCCAATTTGCAATTATCTCTTCCTTAAGTAGCTTCTTTCGTCAAATTCTCTCTTACCTCTATCATAAGTTTACATTTATCATCAAAAACAATAATTAGACACTAATAAATTAAAATTCAAGTTTAATTGGACCCTAATTTATCCATTCACTCATTTTCTCCAATTTCCTAAACTAGTATAAACCCTATTTTAATCAAACCTAATCCCCAATTCTAATTCTTAATTCAAGATGTAATTTACTAAATTATATGCAATCCATTTCTAATTAATGTCATTATTAGCTAAAACTTTCAAAAACAAACTTAATAAATCTCTTTTCTTCATATTTTCTCTTTCTTTCTTCTCTCCTCTTCATCCTCTTCTTACTTTTATTTTTCTTTTTCTCACCCGAATTCCTCCATTATTTTCGTTGTTGAAGTGGGTGGTTGCGATAAGTCTTCTCTTTCCTCTCCTTCTTTCTCCTCTCTTTCCTTTCTTCTTTTTCTTTCTCTTCCCCCTTTCTCATTTTTCTTTTGTTTCCTTTTTATTGGTTTCATTTAGAAACCATTCCGCCACTCTCTTTAGTTTCTTTCTTTTTTTAAAAAAAAAATTACCTTAATGTCTCTCATTTAAAACCCCCTATTTAAGTCACTTATTTGTTTTATAGGCATTACGTAAATGTATGCCAAATAGAGTATTGTCAAAAAGAAGCTTTCATAAAATGGATGAAAGAAGCGTTCGCGAAACATCAAGAGTCAATAACTAAGTATGAGTAAACTCTTAAACAGTTTAGAAGAGATTGAGTAATTTGTCGAAAAGCCATTTCTAATAGTACGTATAGTCTTAAGGGATAAATTGAAAGTTAAAGTTTCAAGACCAATACACTATACTAGTAGACAGAATGAAAAAGGAAATTGGTAACTTCTTTTGACAAGTATAGCAATATTTAAGCATCTCCATGTTTCTATTTAGGATATAGAAAGAAAGATAGAGACTTTGTATTACGCTTGCAGGTTCTTGTATTTTTCTATTATTAAACTAATAAAAACTTTCATCTCGTCTATGGAGTAGGTAATTTGTCGAATTATGTAAATTTTATATGTTGGTAATTTGTTTAATTTTATTTTTTAATTATTGTATGTCATTATTTATTTTATTTTCGCTTTCAGTCTTAACTTAAATAAGTGAGGATTTGTCTAGACTGAGACAGCAATGCTAAATAAAACGGATATGTGCGGGTAGAGAAATCATCGCATTAGCAACACTTTTCGAACCTAAAATATTCTCAGGCTTTAGTCCTTTTCTTTATGCTCAATCTCTTGGCTTGATAAAAGCAGCCACGGAAGTTGTTAGAACTTCCTCTGTTTCATCAATGTCCTTCTCTTTATTCTCAATTTCTTAGCTTGATAAAAGAAACCATGGAAGTTGTCAGATCTTCCTCTGTTACACCAATTCATATCCCAACTTCCACAAGCAAAAAAGGTTTCACCAAACCCAAATTCTTGAATGTTCAGTTTCATCCAATACCCGGTTCATCTTTCTTAAGAATCTACAAGAAAACATCACCAAAATCCAAGCTTTTCACAACCATATCATCATCACCATCCTCTGTTTCAACAGGAACACATGAGCCAGAACTTGAAGCTGACTCTCAAGCAGAGAAGTTTGATTGGTATGCACAATGGTATCCGGTTATGCTAGTTTATGATTTGGACAAGAGGGTGCCACATGGAAAAAAGGTAATGGGTCTTGATATTGTGGTGTGGTGGGATAGGACTGAGAGTACATGGAAAGTCTTTGATGATGCTTGTCCTCATAGACTGGCTCCATTATCTGAAGGAAGAATTGATCAAGCAGGAAGGTTGCAGTGTGTGTACCATGGTTGGTGCTTCAATGGCTCTGGTGACTGCAAGTTCATCCCTCAAGCTAAACCAGATGGTCCTCCAGTAATGATCCTAATGCTTCTATAGAACTTTGATAAAAAATTTTCTTTTGATGCTTAATTACCCTGTTGTTTTGGTAAATTGGAGTCCATCAATGATGCAGATCCACACTTCCAAGAAAGCATGTGCAGCAGTTTATCCAAGCACAGTGCATCATGACATGGTGTGGTTTTGGCCGAACTCCGATCCACAATACAAAGATATCATTACCAAGAAGCAACCTCCCACCATCCCAGAATTGGATGATCCATCATTTTTCAAGTTAACTGGTTGTAGAGATATTCCTTATGGGTATGCAAATTTGCGTCTGCATTTGTTTCCTGAATTGATTATGGACATGAACTTGTTACTTTTTTTTTCTCTACGACATGAATTCTACACAAAAGTTCAGAAACAGAAACTATAACTATAACCGTTGTAAGATAAAAAGTTTGATGATTTTTTTTTTTCACTTCTCTAAACTACATTCCAGATATGAAGTCTTGATAGAAAACCTGATGGATCCTGCTCATATTCCCTATGCACATTATGGAATTATGAAAACACAACCACCAAAAGGTATGTTAAATTTTTAGTTTGAATCATGTTCCCTATGTATTGTGTTTCATTCTCTTTGTTTATGAGTACTTTCATTTGATTGAAACTAAAAATTTTCTACAGTGAAGGCGGATAGAGAAGGGGGCAGCCCGGTTGAATTGAGTGTTACGAAACTAGGCCTAGATGGTTTCATTGGAAATCAAGATCAGTTTGGTGCTAGTAAATTCTTCGCACCATGTACCTCTTATGCTTCCGGCAATCCTGTGGTTGATCAAGTTGATAACGTTGCTTCATCTGCTGGAAGAGAAAAGGCAAACATTTACTTGATAGGAGACGTGAAATGATAGTATGAACTATGATAGCGTGTCATTCTATTATAAAAGGAAAGATATAAGGCTCATGGTTTCGATGCGTAAAATTTGAGAACCTGTGGAACCGGTACCTGGCCATGCATGAACTAGTTTGCATAATCACTTAACAGCCTACTAACTAGTTTACTAGACTATGGATATTTCTTCGAACCAAAGAATGACACTTCCTGTTTTAGAATCAAAATTCAATGTTATTTTATGCTTGTTGATAATTTAACTTCCTTTATTTATGTGGTTAATTATTTCTCTTGTCTCCTTGTCATCTGTTTTCATAAAAAAATTCTTGGTGCAGCAATCTTCAATGCAACAGAGCCAGGCCTTAGTTTTCTTTTGCATTCCAGTTAGTCCAGGGAATAGCAGATTAATATGGATCTTCCCAGTAACCTTCGGAGTTTGGATTGGCAATGTTCTGCCACGATTTATGTTTCATTCAGGAATGAACCTAATTCTGGACTCAGATCTGTATCTCCTTCATCTGGAGGTAATATTTCTGTTTATGAAAATATGATTCTCTTTGCAGCTTTAACCGACTCCAGGATTCTCTTTGCAGGAGCGCAAGATCATGGATATCGGCCCTGCCAACTGGCAAAAGGCCTGTTTTGTGCCAACAAAAGCAGATGCCTTTGTGGTTGGTTTCAGAAGATGGTTGAACAAGTATTCTGGTGGTCAAGTTGATTGGAGGGGGAAGTACAGTGGGGCTCTTCCCCCAACTCCTCCTAGAGAGCAGCTGTTGGACAGGTAATGACTGTTACCTACAACCCCAACTGAGTTTTCAAGTTTGCGGTTTGACAAATTTTCTTACTTCTTTTCTGAATTTGGAACTGATTTTTTCAGGTACTGGTCCCATGTGGTAAACTGTCCCAGTTGCAATGCGGCATATAAGCGTCTCAATGCACTAGAGGTGATTCTGCAGGTTGCTTCTCTAGCTCTCATTGGGATTGCTGCTGCAACCAAGCACAACGTCAATACAATGGTTGCAATGGCAGTAGTATGCTTTGCAGGTTCTAGATGGTCGGCTCACTTCATCTACAAAACCTTCCACTACCATGACTACAATCATGCTTTTCGCTAAAGTGCTTTGAAAAGGCAGCTCAATAGGTGATGAATACATGATCTTCCAAATAATTTGCCGACATTACTGAAGTACTTCCTATTTGAGTACTTTTTCTGGTTGACGTGGCTTTCCAAGTTAGAGGAGAATTCTTCTGCTCTCATACGTCGTCGTGGAGTAACTTGTGAGTTGTGACAGCTAAATAAGCTTTCTGTGAGGCAGTAGCAGTCTCAAGTAAGGCTCCCAGTTTTCTTGTGAGTTTTCGTTTACGTAATAGGCGTTAGGGTTTGTGGGTGAGAAGTTTTTGTAAGAATTTATTTGAAATTTGTACTCTTATTAATGATACTGAAGTATGCCTTATATTTTGTGGTTTTTGCATGGATTGACACTAGATTTTAGTTTTGATTAATGGGGTCGATGATAAAAAAGTTTCAAAGTGAATTTTTTTTAATTTTTTTCTGAAGAGGTTATAGATAAAAGTTTACAGCTAATGAAATGAGAATCCTTAAAGCATGATGGTTAAAAATCTGGGCCATAATAGAAAAATAAGTGCAAAAAACATACAGAAAGGAGAGCCACAAAAAGAAAGTGTTCTATCACCACATAAACTCACTTCAGGTTATATGTTGTTTTGTGTCTAAACCACAAAAAAACTCACTCCACTCAAACCATAAAATGCTAGCAGATAATTAAACAGTAAAGACCTCATTCACTTACACAAGCAGAAATGGAAGCTCTCAAAGCTTCCTTTGTCCCATCTCCTCACATTCCAGCAACACCCGCGAAACTCCACAAATCTGAGTTCTTGCATTTTCAGTTCAGTTCGATTCCCAGTTCATTTGTCCAATCAAATGACAGAAACATTAAGTCAAGCTCCAAGATCTTTACTGCCTTGTCCTCATCCACAGTTTCAGCAGAACCCTTAGACCCAACAGAGCCAGTTCTTGAAACTGATAGCCGAGAAGAGAAATTCGATTGGTATGCACAATGGTATCCAGTAATGCCAGTTTGTGATTTGGACAAGAGAGTGCCGCATGCGAAGAAGGTGATGGGACTTGATTTGGTGGTGTGGTGGGATAGGAATGAGAGTGAATGGAAGGTCTTTGATGATGCTTGCCCTCATAGGTTGGCTCCATTGTCTGAAGGAAGGATTGATCAATGGGGAAGGTTGCAGTGTGTGTACCATGGTTGGTGTTTCAATGGCTCTGGTGATTGCAAATTTATTCCCCAGGCACCCCCAGATGGTCCTCCGGTATTAAATCCTTATACTTGAATGATAAGATTCTCTGTCAGTTTTTTTGTTTTTAGTTCTGAAGGTTTAAAGCTGCTGCTTGAACCATAGATTCTTGAATACTAGTGAATTACTGCAGTTGAAATATGTTATTGATGTTGTAACTCTTGACTTGTGAAGAAAGTTGAAGGTGATATGATTACTGAACTTTCCAAGCCATTATCTATCCAGGTTCGCACATTCAAGAGAGCTTGTGTGGCTGCATATCCAAGTACTGTGCAGAATGACATTGTGTGGTTTTGGCCAAATACCAGTCCTGAATACAAAGATATCCTTTCCACCAAAAGACCCCCTTACATTGCAGAGTTGGATGACCCATCTTATACCAAATCAATGGGAAACAGAGAATTTCCTTTCGGGTATGCATGATTTTCTCTGCCACTTTTAGATTTCTTCTTACGTTTTCTATCTTTCTCAGCTAAACTCAGGACCCTTTCTGGTACTTGTGTTGAATTTATTCTTCTCCAACTTATATCTCCATCTAGCTTTCATGACTATGAGGAAAGTTACACTTCTCTTCAGTAGTTTTTACCAATTTGTTCTAAGATTTTCTAAGTTAATCTAAATGATTATTTTCAGGTATGAAATCTTGATTGAAAATCTAGTGGACCCAGCTCACGTTCCATATGCTCATTATAAACTACTGCCAGGTCCACCAGCAAAGAACAGATAAGAACTTGCACCATACTGTGTTTATATTGCCTTATACTGGAAGGGTAAAATATATGATTAACACAGTATATTTGCCTTCACAGTTAAGCTCGATAGAGAAGGCGGCGCACCGATTGATATAACCATAGACAAGTTAGATATAGAAGGTTTTCATGCTAGCAGATTTGGTGGAATTACTAATTTTATGGCACCTTGTGTATATAAATCTGCTTTTAGTCTGCCGTCGAAGCAAGGTAATGAGCCGCAAAGAAGAGGGCTTCTTCTTTTTTCTGTGTTCCAGTTGGTCCTGGTAAAAGCAGATTAATATACACATTCCCAAGAAATTTTGGAGTTTGGATGGACCGAATTATGCCAAGATGGGTGTTTCATTTGGGACAAAATCGGATTCTAGATTCGGATTTGTATCTTCTTCACTTAGAGGTAACCATTACCATAAAGGGTAAAATATATTCTTCATATCACAATCCTGATGTAAAACCATCATGGTGTCGAAGATATCTAGTGGATTTTTGTTCTGAAGAATCAGAGCAACCGATTCCTAACCCCTTTGCCCTGCTGTTTTTGGTAGGAGCATAGGATAATGGAAGCTGGCCCTACTAATTGGGAAAAGACCTGTTTTGTGCCTACAAAGTCAGATGCTCAAGTGGTTGCTTTCAGGAAGTGGTTAAAGAAATACTCAGGTGGTCAAATTAACTGGGGAGGCAAGTTCAACAGAGCACTCCCTCCATCTCCTCCGAAAGAACAACTAATGGACAGGTAACTTCTGCACAACCAAAAAAGTTCAGATTCCAAGTTCATTGTAGTTATTTTGGACTTCATTATCCATATGAAGCTTGTTAACGCAGTTCTCTCAGGTACTGGTCACACGTAGTGAATTGCAGCAGTTGCAGCCTTGCATACAAGTGTCTCAATGCACTCGAGGTAGTGCTGCAGGTGATTTCCATCGGTTCAATCGGCATTGTTGCTGCAACCAAGCAGAACACAATGTCAGCGGCCGCAAGAACTTCTCTTGTATTGATGGCAATCCTGTGCTTCGCAGCTTCGAGATGGTTGGCTCGCTTCATTTACAAGAATTTTCATTTCCATGACTACAATCATGCCCTCGTTTAACTTCATTGTTTAGTACATCAATTTCTTGGTGCTGGAAACACCACATTATATTGTATATTGAGAAAACTTACAGAGCTGTGGGAAAGATAGTATAGTTTTTTGTTTGTTGAGTATTATTAATATTTGATCTTGCTATTTCCAAGAGCAGGATATCTCTAATATTCTATGAATCCTACCGTATGGCATTGGTCGTAATCTCACTTTTTCTCTTCATTTTGCATCAATTATCAGTCATATAGGACCCAGGAGTCATAATATACAACAATGTCTCAACTTGCACAACTTGAGTTAGTCTTCGCTACATGACAAGGTGTCTCATGACACGTTGTTAGGGTGTCTTTTAGTCTACCCCGGCAGAGTTATCTGTTCACATTTGTTTAACTTTCTCTCTTTCTCTCTCTACTCCTTGATTTAGCTCTGAAAGAAGCAAATATGGAAGCTCTTTTAGCTCCTGTTCCTTCAGCTCACTTTTCAATAATCCCAACTACACATCATAAACCTTTATCCTCGAAACCCAGGTTCTTATCTCCCAAACTCAACGCAGTTCCAATTTTATCAATCTCACCAGGTAGCAACAATATATCAAAGTCCAAGGTTTTTAGCACCATATCATCATCATTCCCGGTTTCAGCAGAGGAAGAGCCTGAAACTGCTGAAAAAGGTGAAGAAAAGAATTTTGATTGGTCTTCTCAGTGGTATCCAGTGATGCCAGTTTGTGATTTGGACAAGAGAGTGCCACATGCGAAAAGGGTGATGGGACTTGATATTGTGGTGTGGTGGGATAGGAATGAGAGTGAATGGAGAGTATTTAATGATGCTTGCCCTCACAGGTTAGCTCCATTGTCTGAAGGAAGGATTGATCAAAGGGGGAGGTTGCAGTGTGTGTACCATGGTTGGTGCTTCAATGGCTCCGGAGAGTGCAAGTTCATCCCTCAGGCACCACCAGATGGGCCTCTGGTATTTGATCTTGATACTTGAATGATAGTTTTTTTCCCTTCTCTTCTTTCTTTCTGCTGAGAAATTATAGGAAAGTTTGTCTTTGACATCTGAATCTTGCAGAAGCAGATAAGCTATTAGCCCAGAATAGTATTTGTTAGTTTCCTTTACTTTCTGTACGTGATTTCATTTCATTGAAGATGCGGCTAGTCTTTCATGGCTTTCTGCTGCTGCTTATGTTGGTCTTTATCGAGTTGGCTACAACTCTTTGGCTATATGGCATCCTGATTTGATCATAGCTGCCTTAGTTACTTTCACTATATAAACTTGAATCGTTTTCACCGCAGTTATTGGATCTTATGATATCTTTTAAAGTCGAACTTCATGTCCGATAGGCTTCACGTTATCATGGCATAACTGATGATCATTTAGAATATGATTGCTTAGAAGGAAGCTCAGGAGATAGTGATCGACTATATTTGCTGCAAATTGTCGGATGGGATTTAATTTCGGTTATTTTCCATAGATCTGAAAGTTGTTTAACTGACATTTCCATGCCATTATTCAGGTCCCACACATTCAAGAAAGCTTGTGTAGCTGCTATCCAAGTACTCTGCAAAATAACATTCTGTGGTTTTGGCCTAATACCAGTCCTGAATACAAGCATATCCTTTTGACCAAGCAACCTCCATACATTTCAGAATTGGATGACCCATCTTACACCAAAGTAATGACAGCTAGAGAGTTTCCTTTCGGGTACGCAAGATATTCTCTGCCCCTTGTAGATTTCTAATCAAGTTTTCTTTTTCACCTGAAATTAGCAGACTTTCTAGTTGCTGTGGCTATTGCTTGAGAAAGGAAAGATTGTGACAAATTTCCTTCTCAAAGTATATTTGCAATTAGTATTCAACAATCATTAGGAAACATGGAATTCTTTCAGAAGTTCTTCCAGATTTTTACTCGGTTTATTTGAAAGTAAACTAAATGATCATTTTTCAGGTATGAAACCGTGGTGGAAAATCTAGTGGATCCTGCTCATATCCCTTATGCACATTACAAACTATTACCAGGACCACCAGCCTACAACAGATAAGGACTTCTAAATTAATTTTGTTTCCCAATATTTTGTTCACAATGTTGTTTTACTTACAATGCTAATATGACTAACATTTTTATACCTTTCATGTTCACGGTTAAGCTTGACAAAGAAGGAGGTGCACCGATTGATCTAACCATACGAAAATCAGATATAAATGGTTTCCGGGCTACCAGATTTGGTGGATTTAGTAAATTTATAGCACCTTGTGTGTATTTTTCTGCTTTTAGTCTTCCATCAAATCAAGGTAATGTGGCTGATCAGGTTAATGGATCAGTATCATCAGATGGAAGCAGTAAGGTAACACACATTATGTCCACATTCTACCTTATAATACATCCAATGGAAAACGGTAGCTAGATTTTTCTTTTGCTTCTATTTTCTTGGAGCTTCAGTAATTCTGTCCTTTTTTTGCTCTGTATGAACTTTGGAGGGTTCAGGATTCCTCATCCCATCAAAGAAGAGAGCTTCTAGTTTTTTTCTGTGTTCCAGTTGGTCCTGGTAAAAGTAGGTTAATATTCACACTCCCACGAAATTTTGGAGTTTGGTCCAACCGAATTATTCCAAGGTGGGTTTTTCATCTGAAGCAAAATCGGATTCTTGATTCAGATTTGTATCTTCTTCACATACAGGTAATTGCAGAACTGTAAAGGATAAAATGATGCTAATTTCGTACGGAAAACCTGTTGGAACAGCATCAAATTTTCCTTTGTTTTTGAAAGGTTGATTGTCATTTTTTACCCTTTGAAGTCCTCTGTATGCTTCAAAGTTGATCATTGAATTTGTTGAAGCAAATGATCTCCTTAGACTATGACAACCACTTCAATCTATTGCGTATCCCAGGTTCATCTCAATAATAACACAACCTTTCCCATATGATTTAGCATTTATACAGTGTAGCTTTCTGCAGGACAACAGTCTGTACTATCTTGTATAGAAACGAACTAATTTATATTTAGTTGTCCAACAATATGATATCTGAATTTCGTTCTCACTTTGCTTATGTTAATCAATTCGTCTCGACAAATGTCCAGCCTCCATATTTCTACAAAACCAACTGCAGAATCAGAAAAACTGTTCCTCATAACTATGATGTTCTCTTACTAATATTTTCGGCAGGAGCGTAAGATGATCGATGTAGGCCCTAGCAATTGGCAGAAGGCTTATTTTGTGCCGACAAAGTCAGATGCACAAGTGGTTGCTTTCAGGAAGTGGTTACAGAAGTACTCAGGTGGTCAAATTAACTGGGGAGGTAAGTTCAGTGGAGCACTGCCCCCAACTCCTCCGAAAGAACAATTAATGGACAGGTAAACTCTGTTTCATTAACATGGTAGATTTAGAGTTCTGCTTAATAGTTTTTCTTTTCAACTCTTTGGATGTTTGGAATGTGAAACTGTGTTCTTTCAGGTATTGGTCACATGTAGTGAACTGCAGAAGTTGCAGTCTAGCATACAAGGGCTTCAATGCACTTGAGATCATGCTGCAAGTGATCTCCATTGGCTCAATCGGAGTTGATGCTGCAACCAAGCAGAATCTAATGTCAGCAGGCACAAGAACTTCACTTGTATTCATGGCAATCCTATGCTTCGCGGCCTCGAGATGGTTGTCTCGCTTCATTTACAAGAATTTTCATTTTCATGTCTACAGCCATGCCCTTCTTTAACTTTCTTTTGTTGTCTACGTTGATTGTTTGGTTTCGGAAACACCACATTGTATTGTATCCTATCGACTAAACAATCTCTATGCATTTCAGAATTGGAAGGCCCATCTTGAACCAAATTAATTACAACTAGAGAGTTTCCTTTCGGGTATGCAAGATATTCTCTGCCCCTTGTAGATTTCGCATCAAGTTTTCTTTTAATGGGATCTTTCATTCACATTTTTTTTCCAACCAAAACGTCATTTCTATTCAAGTTTTCTTTTAATGGGATCTTCCGATCACATTTTTTTCCAACAAAAACATCGAACAACCGATGTTTCGCAATAAAAAATATAATACTATTTGTAGCAGTGGTCCTTATAAATCTTAGCACATATAATATAAGCTTAAACATATTTTACCTTACAAAAAAAACATGTAATAAGAGATTTATTGAACAAAAATAATTTTTGGTTTTTCTAAGAAGGAAAAAACAGAAAAAAGAAATTTACTTCCTTGACGGTGCTAACTACTACTATATAAAAAAAGGTCAATCTAATCTCAGATTGGTATCAACAGCAACAAGGCAGATCCATCATCTAAGAAATATATGGATTATTATAAATTAGTCTTTCTAGTTTTGCAAAATAAATTAAATAGGACTTTTTTTTCGAAATGTTATTAATTAGTCACTTAGCCTATATTGACAATAGTTAATTTAATATTATTTTGTTTCAGAAAAATATCTTCTTTTTTCATAATTTTTTTTCTTTTCCCCCCTTTTTCTATTTATTAAACCAACATGGATTGAAAAGAATGAAAGGAATTATTAAGTTACCAATAGATATAAAAATAAAGGGATATAATTGATTAGTTATCAAAAAAGTAGGGACCATTAAATTTTTTCAAAAACTAGAAGCACTAATCTATACTTTACTAATAACGACACATATATGCCCAGAAAATATAGGGACATAATTAATTAGTTATCAAAACTACAGGGACTTAGTTATACTTGACTATACATATATGCCTCAATTGACGATAAAGGGTAAAAACATAAAACGTGGCCGATGCAGGTTTCGAACCTGCGACCTTCGCGTTATTAGCACGACGCTCTAACCAACTGAGCTAATAGGCCGTTCGAAAGTTGATCCATTTTTTTATTTATCTAATTATTTGGTTTAACCACCTTCTCCTTTCTAACACGAAAGTGACGAAGTTGCTTTGATTACAGAATCATGCCCGTCTGTTGAAGCGAATTGGATGATCGGGCCGAGGACCTTTGAGTTGGGATTGTAATGGTTTCTCTCTCAATGGCTTTGGTTACCAAAAACTATTGGCCCCTTTATGGCCTCTTTATGTATGAATCCACCATTTACACTTCAATAAAACTTTGATCTGAATAGCTGGATTGCTATGGAGCAAGCAGCTTTTGATTCTGATGTCAGCAATTGCTGCAATAAATACTCTTTTTTTCTTTATCTTATCATGAATGAGTGAATCAATTTCAAGGAAAAGTAGGAGTCAAAAAGTACAGAATAGAACTGATGATGGAAAGTATTAAAAAAGGAGTCACAATGGTGATATGACAATGAGTTTCTAACAATAAAAGAAATGAAAGGACAATGACGATCTTAATTGCTGCCATTTGTAAACTACAAAGCACATATGGTCCGAAACACAATTAAGAACTGAGTTTATGAACTGTTTTGAAAGAATTTTAACTATGCAATATGTTCTAATAGCTTTTACCACCACATCATCATCATCATCATCATCATCCAGAGTTTTAACAAAGGAAGAACCTGAAACTGCTGAAAATGAAGAAGAAAGGTTTGATTGGTTTTCTCAGTGGCATCCAGTAATGCCAGTTTGTGATTTGGACAAGAGAGTGCCACATGCGAAAAGGGTGATAGGTCTTGACATTGTGGTGTGGTGGGATAGGAATGAGAGTGAGTGGAGAGTATTTAATGATGCTTGCCCTCACAGGTTGGCTCCATTGTCTGAAGGAAGGATTGATCAAAGGTTGCAGTGTCTGTACCATGGTTGGTGCTTCAATGGCTCTGGAGAGTGCAAGTTCATCCCTCAGGCACCACCAGATGGTCCTCCGGTATTGATTCTTGAATCCTTCAAAACATTACTATAATTGGAAAATTTTGATTTTACATTGCCTTTTCTCAAATATTAAGCATGTTCACATAAACAATAAGGCATGTGTTTCTTTTTATCCAAGTACAGAGCAGAATGGGATTTTATTGTTTTGGCCAAACTCTGATCCTCAATTCAAGGATATTCACTTGAAGAAAATGCCTCCTTACATCCCAGAATTGGATGACCCTTCTTACACCAACATGATGGGAAATAGAGACATGCCTTACGGGTATAACAAACATATATCTGCCACCCTTTATCGATCTTTCTTTTGTAAACATTTTCCTTTGTAGAGCAGAAGTTCTATGGAGGACTAACACAGACACACACTATGCATTCAATTTTCTTTGAGAAGTAATCAATAATTCTTGCAACTTCTGCTAAGCAATCTGAACTGGAATTTTCAGATATGAGATCTTGGTTGAAAATCTGATGGATCCAGCTCAGGTCCCCTATGCACATTATGGACTGCAGAAAATGCCCCAACCCAAAAGTAGATGACTGTTGCCTGGCCATTTTAAAGTTATTAATTTCTTCGTCTTCTTCTTCTTTGTATTTTTACATATGAGATCTGGAGGTTAACAATAAACAAGTTGTTCTTTGACAGATAAGGCTGATAGAGGAGGCATGCCAATTGATATATCCATACACAAGTTAGATATAGAAGGTTTTCATGCTGGCAGTTTTATTGGTAATACTAATTTATGGCACCTTGTGTCAATAAATTTGCTCTTAATCTTCCTTCGAAGCAAGGTGAGGAGCCACAAAGAAGAGGGATTTCTTCTTTATTTCTGTGTTCCAGTTAGTCCCGGTCAAAGCAGATTAATATACACATACATATTCCCAAGAAAGTTTGGAGTTTGGATCAACCGGATTATTCCACGATGGGTGCTTCATCTGGGGGAAAATCGGGTTCTAGATTCCGATTTGTATCTTCTTCAGGAAACAACATTACCATAGAGTGCAAAATATAGTCTTAATTTCAAAATCTAATGCAAAATCATCATGGTGTAGAAGATAGCTAGTGAAGTTTTTCTGCTGGAGAATCGAAACAGCTGGTTCCTGATCCCTCTGTCCTTCTGTTTTTTCGTGGGAGCGTAAGATAATGGAAGTTGGTCCTACCAACTGGAAAGCGACCTGTTTTGTGCCAACAAAGTCAGATGCTAAAGTTGTTGCTTTCAGAAGGTGGTTAGAGAAGTACTCGGGCGGTCAAATTAACTGGGGAGGCAAGTTCAGTGGAGAACTTCCTCCAACTCCTCCGAAAGAACAACTAATGGACAGGTAGCTTCTGCACAACCGAAAAAGTTCAGATTTTATGTTTGTTATAGTTATTTTTAACTTCATAATCCATACAAAGCTTGTTCATATGTTTCTTTCTTTCAGGTACTGGTCGCACGTAGTGAATTGCAGTAGTTGCAGCCTTGCATATAAGAGTCTCAACGTCATTGAGGTTGTGCTGCCGGTGATTTCCATCGGTTCAATCGGCATTGTTGCTGCAACCAAGCAGAATGCGATGTCAGCAGCCACAAGAACTTCACTTGTATTGATGGCAATCCTGTGCTTTGCAGCTTCGAGATGGTTGGCTCACTTCATTTACAAGAACTTCCATTTTCATGACGACAGTCATGCCCATCTTTAACTTTATTGTTTCGTACATCAATTTATTGGTGCTGGAAACACTGAATTGTATTATAAATGTAGAGAGAAAACTCTGGTTGCATACTACATAGTATACTTATTTGTTAGTTGAATAATATCAATTTACGAACATGCCAGTTTCAAGAGTAGAACATGGGATCAGCCACCTGAAGCCGAGGTGTCTTAAATATTCAATCATTTTTGACCTTGCACAACATAACAAGGTACCTCATGACAAGCAGTGAGGTGAGTGTGAGAGTGAGAGTGAGAGTATTTAATGATGCTTGCCCTCATAGGTATCAGTTAGCTCCATTGTCTTAGGAAGGATTGATCAATGGGAGAGGTTGCAGTGTGAGTACCATGGTTGGTGCTTCAATGGCTCTGGTGGCTGCAAGTTCATTCCTCAAGCACCACCAGTCAGTCCTCCAGTACCAATTCTTAAATCTCTCAACAAATTACTATTATTTATTGGAAATTTTGATTTCACATTGCCTTTTTCTGAAAAATTGTCCAGGTTCACACAAGCAAGAAGGCATTTGTTTCTGTTTCTTCAAGTACAATGCAGAATGGGATTTTATGGTTTTGGTCAAACTCTATCCTCAATACAAATATATTCTCTTGAAGAAAAAGCCCCCTTATATCCTAGAATTGGATGACCCTTTGTCACGACCCGAACTAGCGAGCCGCGACCGGCACGTAGCCCGGGGTGGGGTGACCCACCACGAGCTATGTAAGCCTTAATCTTTTCTCTATTTCCTACATAAATTTCGACGAGCATTTCCCCTATAATTGGAGGGTCTCAAAAATAATATATATTACGCATAAAAATCACAATATATGTACACTTCCAAATCATCTTCACTAATTCTCAATCATCATCAAGTCCCTCCATTTGAACATCCACACTTTCTCATAAATCTCGGTATTTACTAAATTGACAAAAATACATATAATCCAATATTTAACATAACCAAATTTATAAATCACCATTTAACCATCCAAATACAAAACATGGAGACCCTTAACTAGCTATCCCTAGATTTGGTGATGCTACCAGCGGAGCAACTAAGTGAAATAAAATATATAATGATTAATTACAATTCCAAAATGGACAATGAATATAAATTTGAAACAACCTTGTCCTATACCGGAGGAAGCAAAATAATATCCGGGTAGTACCTTCAAATCCGGAAAATCGATCGTCCTCTTTCTATGATCTAGCTTCTATATCCGTTATCTAGCTTTTGTATTATCTACAAAATATTTGAGATTGAGGGGTGAGTTTTCAAAACTCGATAAGCATAACACATATTATAAAATCACTATACATACAATTATGCCAATGCACCTATCATACATGATTTTGCAACCAAGCAAACAAGCAATCAATAACTTTTTCTTTTTCTTTCTTTCTTAACAATTAATAATAACATAACAATTTCTTGAAATCACTCTATGCAAAACTATCTATTCTTTTGGCCCTCAAAAGGGTAACTATGGCCCTCGCAAGGGTAACTGTAAACTACGGCCCCCGCAGGTATAAACTCGAGGGAAGCACTATGGCCATTCCCTAGCCGGCAATACTAGGTGCACCTAGGCTAACTATAACCCTGTTAGCTTAGTTATTCCTGCATAGACTTCTTTCAAGTCATCAATATCATTATTCTCATTTAGTACATATCAATCACACAATTTCATTTAATGCAAGTGATCATCATATCAACATGCACATATATCATTCAATGTATCAATATTCTCTTTAATAACCACAATTCATATGGCAACATACCAATTCAATTCATCTATACTAAAATAATTCAATTCACATGTTATTATTTTTAATAATTAAACATTTATCCATACAATCAATTTTTCACCTCACAAGCAATATAGACATACATGATAGTAAAGACTCATAATAGGTGTTATACTTACCTCTAATCTAGATGAACACCCCAAATTATAATTGTCTCTTTCTTAAGTAGCTTCTTTCTTTTTTTAGTTTTAAATTACCCTAATGCCCCTCATGTAAAAACCCCAATTAAGTCCGTTTTTGGTTTTATTGGCATTACGCCCTTCTTATTCCAACATAATGGGAAATAGAGACATGCTTTTTGGGTATGCATACATAATGGGAAAAAGTACATTCTTCTTTCTGTAATCATTTTAATGTGTTCAGGAGCAATCTCCCAATGCACTACGAGAAAGAGTTCTTGCAGTTTTCATGTCTATTCCAGTTAGTCCTGGTAAAAGCAGAGTAATATGGACCTTGTCCCCTATGTATATTACTGGTCTCATGTAACAAAAGATTAGTCTTCTGCAAACTTCTCAGTCTGGATTGGTTCCTTGGTTATCGAAAAAAAGCAAACTAATTGAACTGTGAAGTATGAAGCCAAGATATTGTTTGTTTTAACTATGGCATCGCGGTTTTGTTCCACAAAAGAAGTCTCTTAAGTTTGAAGCTTTGACTGAACATATAATCCCAAGCTTACAAATTTTGGGATAGGGATTGTCACTAACTTCACAGACTAATCAGTTTTGTCTTTTGGGAAAAATTCTCAAGTCCACTGATTGCTACTTGCCAACTGAATCAGTGCTTTGCAGTCCCATCACCTGAGCTGCTTCTAAAACAATCGCTTCTTCTTTGATTACAAAGCATGCTGTCTTCCTCATCCAATGAACTTGTCTGCAATAACAGGGAAAAAAAAAAAAAAAGGGAAAGGCTCGGGATATGTATGACTTTCTAGTTCTTATCACCTGTAATCCTAATTCATAACAAAAGAATGAATAGCACTTTAATTTTTTTTTTTTTTTTCTATACCTCTACATCTGTGAGATCCACATTGTTTTCTCTGAGGAAAGAAAGGAAGTCCTGAAACTTTTCTTCTGTAGGCCAATAATGACCGCTGTGAGGCCAAATTGCCTGTTGAAAAGTCGAAAGAAAGCATTAGTAACAGGACATGATGATATCTGAAGATCATTAATCAAGAACCTATACCTTAAGAATGCCAGATTCAACAATTAATCTGCCAGCAGCAGTTGTGACTCCTCCTGCCAAGAAGCTAGAATGCTGGAATGTGCCTTTCTTCTTCTTGCCAACGTACAAGGTCTTGGATGTGTCAAGGACGAAGATGGACTGAGCATCTGCTGTTGTGTGGATAAGCTCCCCTGTCTTCTTGTAGAGGAGCTTCCCCTCCTCTATAACAGCTTCATAGGCTTTCCTTTCTGTCTGTTATAGTAAATGTTTACAGTAAAGACATATATTTTGGTTTAAAAGGAAAAAAAAAATGTAGTGTATGGAAACTCACAGGACCAAGATACTTGATGCACTGCTTTTGAAACTTTGATCTAGGGCATGCTTCCAGATTTACTTCCTTGCCTTCTCCTATATCCAGCCTGCAATTCGAAACCATGCATGCAATGCAAGTTCGACTTCAAATTCATGATCATGTCTAAAAACGAAAGTCTAGCAACAAGGATCCAAGCAACTTGCCAGTAAAAGAAGGGTTGTCTGCTTTTAGTATCAAGCCATCTCTCATAATAGAGATGTAGGTTATGCCCATATCGATGTCGTGGATCGACCTGTTTTACACAAAAGACATAACAGATTTGGAATCAGTAAGAGCGAATGAAGAGCAATACTTCGTATCTGCATAAATCCTGTAAATTTGACACAACATACCGCTTCAAGCCAGTGCTTATCAATAAGTTTTTGTGCATTGTCATCATTTGACAAGCCTTTTCCAACTCTGCCTGCTCTCCTTTTCGCTCGTGACCATCGAGAAATGGCAGCATGATGTTTCTTGATATCAAAGAACGAAATAGAAATCCATTTGAGTTCAGCGAAATCTAAGAGTTCCCACCTGTAATTATGACAAGTAACAACTACTTGCGTTAGCACAAGGTTATGCATCAACATTTTTTTTTAAAAGACAAAAAGACCATGACCTGTACTGATCAATAGATACATACCAGTTCTGCTCAACAAGAACTGCACAATCTGCAAGCATTTTCCTCGTTCGGTAGCTTTTGTAAACTTTCTGCAATTTTACAGCAGCTTGGTGTTTGGGGCTGATGGGATAAAAAATTCCCAATTTCCGTATCATCTTGATGCTATGATTAACTAAGTTCAGAGACTGATAATCCAGTTCTTTGCTGTTAATATTAACTGACTTGGTAGAGGCATCCTTTTCTCTCTCCAAAGGAGAACCTGTAATTGGCATCATTCTTTCCGATTCTCCCCTCTTAAAACTAACAGATCTTTCTACTACCACCATCTTTCAAAAGCTGGAGATTTCAGGATTTTGCAATATCTAACAGATTCTAAACCTGTCTGATCCACGTGACTTTACTCAGAAAATGAGCAGGAAATATAATTTTTCTAGCAAAGGCAAAAAAAAAACTGTCTGCTAAAACAAAATTGGCCCAGAAAATTAACTCATTTGCGAAAGAAACAGAATAGACAACCACATTACTCTGTAACCAAGACCTTTTTTTTTTAAAAAAAAAAAGAAGAAGCTAGAAACTATGTTCTTGCATAAGCAAAAAAATGAGGTCCCGGAGACCGAGTTTCACCTTTGTCAAAACTCTAAAAAATTCAGAACAAGAAAAAGAAAAACATTTGATGAAAATCAATAGACTTGGATTAAAAGTCAGTAAAATAGTGGCGGGAAAAAACAAAGTACAAACAAAATTTCAGATATTAGAGCCAAGCTAATAATTCCTCTTGCATGCTAATATTCTGAGTACCTAAACCATCAGCTACAGCATTTTTACTCTATTCACTCTAGTAAGACAAACATATTTTATAAAATGGTGGACTTAGCGTTGGTTGTTTGATCCCAAACCTAACCCGAGAACATCTCACTGTCTATATATATATATATATAAAGCTTAGAAGAAGCAAGAAAAATGAAAGTTAAAACAGAGACAATAGACAAAAACCCAAGAATGTATGACGCAGAAGGGTATGACCTTGAGCAATGGAATGTGGATGAGTGGTTGTACAAAGAAGGCACATTGATCTCCTATATATAATAGGAAAGAAATCCGGGGTGGAAACTGGAAAGTGGAAATGGTGAAACTTCAACGCATGAGAAGAAGGTGGGGGCAGATTACCACTTCAAGGACGATATGGAATTTCAAAAACCTAATTATTATTACCATTAATCTGAAGAACAGAATGTTTATTTTGGATTTGATTTAGACGACTTTGACTAATTCATCTTCGTTAACATTATTATGTCTTCATAAACAGTCGAAAGTATCATAATGCTGTAATATTCTTTCTGGGATCAAGATTAATGCAAGAAACCTCAGCAACACATTGAAACGTCATGCAAAACAATCTACTTATTTGAATAATAATAAATAAATAAACACTATTTTCTTGTACCAAAGAGATTGTCATATTTTACATTTCAGATAGATTAAAAAATTATTAATTATTCTACTATATAAGTATTTTTTTTATTCCTAATTTTTTTTAAATGTTCTTTTTATCTGATTGTTAGTCATCAAATTTAATTATGATATAAAATCAATATTAATTAGGTGTGTTTTAAAAAAAATATACCGTTTAAATTTGTTATCAGAAAGATAAATATTTTGAAAAAAATATAAAAAAATAATACATATATTTTTTAAAACAGAAAAAATATTTATTTGTAAATAATCAAACAACCAACATCGAATCAACCTACACAAGGCATGACTAGTTAGAATTATTACATTGAATCTATTGGTTTTAAAAAGTTGTTTTTATAACAAAACTAATTTTGAGACTTTGACCCATGAGAGAAATTGATTTAGATTTTCTTAAACATGTGTAGCACACCCACTGGGATTAACTTGTCCACCTACCCAGTCAACCCAAAATTAGTTGTCTTAATCACTTCAAGTAGAATTACATTTATTTTCAATTTTTTTGAAAAATATAAAAACAAAATTATATATATATAATGTTGTTTCTATGTATATTTTTTAATTTTAGTAAAATAATTTATTAGTTTTTCTAATCGAAGTAGAGATTAAAAGAATTAATTATGGAGTGGTATGGCGAGTGAGCCAGGCCAGTGTCCAATAAATGTGTGTGACACATGCCTATTCAAGGTGGATTCCACCTTAGTCCGACCCAGGTCAACCTGTCTTGATGGCCATGCATGGCTGTGCTGCGTTTTGTGACACGTGCCTTTTGTTGTTTTCTTGGGATAGTTGGAGACAATTTTTGGGCCTGGCTGGGCTGCGTTTTGGGACTCAAAATGTTTTTAGACTGGATTCTAAGTTAGTTTGGGCCCTTCATTGTTTGATGTGTATCTTGAATCATGTTCAATGTGACAAAAATGCAATTGTGCAGAAGAAAAAAAAAGAAACATTAATTGTAGCTCAACAACATGCATGGAAGCTTTTGTTTTTAAAACTAATCTGAACCATCCCTGTCTAATTAGAATTTAGAATTAGCAACAAACTTAGTAACTCGTACCACTGGCTCATTTTTTGCTCATATTTAGTCTAGATTTGAAACATTATATATATATATATATATATAATTTCGATACTCATCATCTTTCAATTATTTTTAATGGATATGAATTAGTTTTAAAATTTGAGATTTCATGTTATTCGTACTTTTAAAATAAAAAATAAATAAATATAAGTTTTGTGATGTTGAGAATGAGACGTGAAATTTAAAGTTTCAATTTCCTGTTAGACGTTCGAAACTCATACCACTGGCTCATTTTTTGTGGTCGACAGTAGTTGAATATGTGGTAGGCTAATCGTGTACAATTGGCAAGCCAATTTTGTGGACAAAGTGATACTGGCTATTCCAATTTATAGTTCTGCTGTCAATTTCCCGCTCAACAACTTAGAGAAGCACAGACCAACAGCAATTAGACCTTTATATATAAAATTAAATTCGCATTTCTTTTTCATGATGGGTCCATATTGGAAAATCTACTAATTTTTTAGAAATCAAATCTCAGATTCACGCTAATTTCAGGTTTTTATCTCTAATTTGAGGTTACAGTAATTTCCTCTCAACCTTCTATCCTATCTAGGTTGCATGAAACTTCATGAGATCTATGGCTATGGTAATATTATGCAGTCATAACAAATTGAGACAAAAAATAAAAGAAAATAAACTTTCCCTTTACCATAAGACACAGTTAAAAAAAAAAAGAGCTTAAATTACCAAAAATGAGGGTGTTACTAAAAGAGTAATTTTATAATATACCAAGAATAACTAGTGACATATATAGTAGTTACTCTATAAGTCCATTTTGAAGAGAGAGATAGACACAAAAAAAAAAAGAAAAAAAAATTTGAGCGAGATATAAAAATCTTCTTATCACTTTTGATGGGTATGAATGTAATTTCACTATTTTTTTTTGTGTCTATCTCTCTCCTCAAAATGAGCTCATGTAGTAACTATCGTACATCCCACTAGTTATTCCGGTGTATTATAAAATTTTTCGTTACTAAAATCTCCTTTAGTATAATAAATTTATAAACTATTTGTTTTTTCATAATATAAATATTTTCTTCTCAATTACATTCATAAACAAGTATATAAGGCAAGTTTTATTTTAAAAATAGAAAAATATTTCATGATAATTCTGATAATTGATTTAAAACATTACAAGATCCCAATCCAAAATTCCATTGATTGTTCTTAATTGATTTTTTTTCCTAAGCTCCATTATTGTTTGCCTCGACCCAGAGCAAGACCCTCGAAAACCGTATTTCATAGAATTTTTTTCCCTAAGATTTCTTGATAATTTCTTGCTTTTCTCTCTCTCTCTCTCTCTCTCTCTCTCTCAATATACTTGTATTTCATAGAATTTATATATATTTTTTGTCTCGATAAGAACATAATTCTAGCCGTGACATGTGATTTTTATATTCGAATTAATGACCGGACCGAATTTTGACCGGGTCTTACCGGGTTGATAGAATCAATCTGGTTTTAACTCGATCAATTTCTTATTTAGTTTAACTTCAAACCCAAAGCAAATTAAATTTTAAGTCCTTGGGTTTTCGGGTCAACTCACCGGGCAGACCCGGATTTGACAGCTATGCCAATAGGACCAATCTTTGATTCTAACGTGGCGCCTCTAGTTTAACTTATAAAACATTAACTTTTGTCCGTCGGGATGCAACTCGCTATTCTCTGAGTTCGCTCTTAGACGAGAAAAAATCACACGCAGAGTTGACAACGGCTCTTCCTTTCCTTCAAACCAAAGCTTCACACTGTCAACAAAGACACTCCATTCTCTCTTCCCCACAATTAAAGTTCACTGCTCTTTCTTTCCTTCTAACCAAAGCTTCACACTTTCAACAAAGACACTCCATTCTCTCTTCCCCTCCATTAAAGTTCACAGCTTTATGCTAAATTTCCATTAGATCTCACCAAAGTTCACTGCTTTGAGTCTCTTCATTGCAATTCAAGTAAGTAAAAGCTTGTTTAGAGCTCTCTTCTTTGCTTTCTTTTCCTATATTTTCCTTTACTTGATTCAGTTCTTAGTTAAAAAAAGATTGGATTTTGAAGGTAACCCATTATCGGATTCGGTGTAAGAAAACTTGGGTTGTTTTTATCTTCTTGATAGAGTTCAAGATCTAAGTAGATTTTGGGCTTTAAAGGGTAGAGAAAATCCATGAAAGAAACTAATCCAGGAGCTGATGCTATAGGGCAGAATCTGATAAAGTTGATAAGTAATGTGTGTTTCTCAGTGTTTGTGTTCTCAGTTTTGATATTTACTGTTATTGCAATCACTTACCAACCACCAGATCCATGGCTGGAATCAGCTCCAGCTTTAACAAAACTCTTTACACAAACTGAGAATGCTACTTTTAAAATTGATGATTCTGTTGCCAAAACTGGTGAGGATATGCAAACTGAGGCTACCCCTGCAGTCCCTCCTATTGCTGATATTAAGCCGATTACTGAGGAGGTGATTGAGAAAAAGGAGGAGGAAGTGAGTAATATGACGCTCAAATCGTCTGGTTGTGAGGATTTGGAGCTAGTGAATTGTTCAGATCCGAGGGTATTGATTACGGTTGAGAAGTTCAACTTCAGGCTGTTTAAGTCAATTGTCTTTTTGGATTATCAAACTCCAGTTAATGGATCGAAGCAGGATGAGTGTGATGTGTCATGGAGGTTTAGGAATAAGAAAGAGAAGTCGTGGAGGAAGTATAGGGATTTTAGGAGGTTTAAGTTTGGAACTGGAGAGAATTGTTCTTACAAAATCGTGCATGCTGGTGGTTGGCATTCTGGTATTAATGCCAGGAGGATGAGGATTAGAACTAATTCCACAAGGAGTGGTAGAAAAAATCCAAAAGTTGCACCATTGGTTCGGGATGATGAGATAAATGACACGATCCCAAGCTTGGGATCAGAAACCAACTTTAGAAAGGGGAAGTACTTGTATTATTCCAGAGGAGGGGATTATTGCAAGGGAATGAATCATTACATGTGGAGTTTCTTGTGTGGGTTGGGGGAGGCTATGTATCTGAACAGGACATTTGTCATGGACTTAAGCATATGCTTGTCGGGTCAGTATAATCCAAGTGGGAAGGATAAAGAGGGGAATGATTTTAGGTTTTATTTTGATTTTGAGCATCTTAAGGAGGCGGCATCGATTGTCGAAGAGGGTGAATTTTTGAGAGATTGGAAGAGATGGGACCGTGCCCATAAGAAGAAAGTTCCAGTTAAGAAGGTTGTGACTCATAAGATGACACCAATGCAACTAAGGAAAGATAAGAGCACAATCATATGGAGGCAGTTTGATGGTCAGGAGCCAGAAAATTATTGGTATAGGGTGTGCGAAGGGCAAGCTGCAAAGTACATTCATAGGCCATGGCATGCCGTTTGGAAATCAAAAAGATTGATGAATATAGTTACAGACATCAGTGGGAGAATGGACTGGGATTTTGATGCAGTTCATGTGGTTCGTGGGGAGAAAGCTCAAAATAAAGAGCTCTGGCCTCATTTGAATGCTGATACTTCTCCTGACGCGCTCGTTGCAAAGCTTCAAGGGATGATTAAGCCTTGGAGGAATCTGTACATAGCAACCAATGAACCATTCTACAATTATTTCGATAAATTGAGGTCTCATTTCAAGGTCCATTTACTTGATGATTACAAGGAATTGTGGGGAAATACAAGTGATTGGTACAATGAGACAATGCTTTTGAACAATGGTCGTCCTGTTGAGTTTGATGGATACATGAGAGTTGCTGTGGATACTGAGGTTCTTTATAGAGGAAAAACACGCGTGGAAACATTTTATAATTTGACCAGTGACTGCAAGGATGGAATCAATACATGCTGATGAGGTTGGATGTCTTTTCCAAAAAATTTATTCATGTCATTTGTGTTCTTGATTCAGTTACAGAATGATACAATTTCAGCTCATTTTAGACTATTATTTTTTACATTTATTTGTCCATTTGTTTCTTTTGTTCTATTGGCCTTTGGCATTTCCTGTTGATCATGACAACTCTATATCTGTAAAATATAAGTTCAATTTTTGTGGCCTTCATTTGCTCTTTGATCTTTTCTCAAAGTGAATGAATGCCCTATTCATCTCATCGTACTCAGGAGAGGTACGGTGTATATGTGTGTTTCATTTGTTCTGTCCCTTCATTAGCTTCTGTAGATGTGAACAAATGCTTTTTTTTCTCTCTCTCTTGTGGCATGTCAAATTATCCATTTGATGATGATTTTGAAGTAAAATCTACTGGATCTCTTATAATTAGTTGAGGGAGAGTTCCTTTAGGTTTTCCTTAATCCTCCAAAATTCGGTTGCATGTTGTACCTCCCTCTCCTCAAAGATGGCCTGAAACAGGAGTAATCAGCTTTTATGCTAATCCGAAACAGAAATGGAGTGAAAATTTTATCCTTTTTCCTTATTATGAGCTTCATAAGAACGTTCCTGCTTTTGCTCCTGCATGCGGTGTTGACTAGTGCCATTACAGCAGTAGCACAGGTATCATTACTTCCACTTTGATTACTTGGGATCTTAGCTTATGAAAATTACAGGAAATTATGTGATACTTTGAATATGAGATTATTGAGATGCTTATGGCCATAGTGTTGACCTTCGCATGCCTGAATGCTTAAATAAGGTGACATTTTGTTGCTTTTTCCATACAATAGACTCTGCTGCGAGAACTCAAGCAAGGCCCTGAGTGCCAGAATCAGCACCATATAGCATCTTTTGTGAGGGGTTTAGAAGGAAATTACAGCAAATCTAGCTTGCATTTTGCTTCTAAGTTCTATGCTCTTTCTGAAGTCAGAAATATAGCCCACAATCACAAGAGGGTCCAATGTATCTTTTTTGTGCATTATGTCCTTTACTTTTGGGGTTTTGCACATGCAATGAAGAGAATCAATCGTAAAAATAGCATCACTAGAGGAAAAATTCTTTCATATTCAAAGATCAGGAGGAGCAAACAACTAAAAATATGCATTGCACTCTTCTATTTTCCAGCTTTGACTTGGTGCCACTTGTTCGTGGAGAGGTATATAATCCTACATAGAACACACGAAAGAAATGGTCAAGGCAAGAGAACAGACACACACTTGTAGCATATGAGATGAGAAGTGGATGTTGATACCTCCATTCTCTGGATTAGCTCTCTAGCAGTCTTGGCAGATATGACAATATTCCTTGCAGAAGGTCTAATAAATCCCTCTTCTACACCTTTGTCGAATAATCCAAGCAAGCTATCATAGTACCCATCAACATTTAATAGGCCCACCTGTAATTTTTTTTATTTTCCAACCAATTTGAGAGAGGAGAAGAGAGATCCAAAATTGCCAATCAAAGAAATGGCAGACATTCAACAGCACTTTGATTACACAGTAAGAAAATTGGCGTTAATGGTTAATACTTAAGAAGAAGTTGCATTAACTACCTTTTGTAATAAAATTTTCTTTCTTAACTTAAATATTTCAGACAAAAGATTTGAATTTATGATCTTGTCGTAGATGTAATAAACTCACTACTGTTAAACCGAAAGCCGATGTCTCGGTTTAAACATTAAAAATGAGTATGTCATAGACCATAACTGACAACTAATTAGCATTCTTAAAGCTTAAAAAGGCAAGCTTTCCTTTTTCTTATTTTCTTTTCTTTGCAACTAAATGCTCAATTTCATCTCGATCGGATTGATTGCTTTGACGATGGACAGTTAAACGCACTGAAAAGTGAAAACAAAACTTTTAAAAGCAAAGATTAAACTTTAATTATGGTCCCAAAAAATGGGTTTTAAGCCTCTAATTCATAGCCATCTGGTCAGTCTCCTCAGCATTTTGGACGGCTGTCAATTTTACTGCCAATAGCCAGATCAGACAGATACCCACAAACTGCTTTTAAATGTCTTGTAATGACTTTTGATATAAACAATTGTTTGATTGGAAGAGTGATTAGAAATAATTACTGTTTTTTCAAACCATCAAGCTTGGTTTTTCTTTTAATCACAAAGTGCCTTTTTCTTTTATTACAAATGGTAAACTATTTCTTACATCAGCTTTCATATCAATCCAAATTAGATCAATGTCAGATCACACCTACCTTTGATCCATTCTAATCACAAAATGCACGTATTTCCGAAACAGGGGATTTGAACCTTGGCACTACAGCTACTAAAGCTTGAATCTTACTTGAATCCTTTCATTCCTGTAGCAATGTTAACATTCCGCCCTCTTGACTTTTTTTCATTTGTAACAATAACAGGTGTAGGCTAGCTAGTAGGGCTCTAACTTGATGACTTACCTTGGCCACCCTTATTATAGGCCACGCTAAGGTTTTAATATCATTCAATTCGTTTACAAAAATTTTCAGTTTCTAATCATGGGAAGCTTCAAAAGATGCGGCTGCCAAATTATATGGAGAGATAAAGAGAGATGCAAATTTACTTACTGGCTTATTATGGATTCCAAGCTGAGACCATGTTATCATCTCAAGCAACTCCTCTAAGGTTCCATACCCTCCTTCATTAGCCCAAAGAAGAAAAAAGAACTATCAATAGTTAACAATCTTGTTTATATAAGCATGTTCTGTTCTTGTCAAATGCTTGAAACTTGCGGAACATGTAAATACCAGGAAGAGCAATGAAAGCATCAGCTCTACGAGCCATCTCAGCCTTCCTTTCATGCATATCGGATACAATTAACACTTCTCCAACCGTTTGACCTGAAATCTGAGAACAAATCATTCATGCAAACATGCATGTGCATGAGAGGAGAAAAAAGCGATAGAGGAGATGAAGTTTCGCATACCTCAACTGCTACAAGAGCTGTTGGGATAACCCTATCCAAAAAGAACAAAAAATGAAAAAAAATAAAAAATTGAAGTGATCAATTAAAAGTATGACGACTAGATGAAAAGAACTTGAAGAATAGATGGACTAAAAAATCATAATTAAGAACAAGTTGTGAATCATGAGTTTTTCAACATTGAAAGGATTGCATGTTTACTTGCTCAACCTCATTATAAGGTTTCTTACCCTAAAACGTGGCATCCACCATCATAAACAGTCTGAGAAACAAGCCCCATCAAGCCAACACTCCCTCCTCCATAGACTAAATCTATCTTCCTTTCAACCTGCAAAATTCCCCTTTTCATCAAACACGCTCCAGATTCCAAAAAGTTCAAAGAAAGAGAGAGTACTGAGGAGGGGTATACTAACCAGTTGCCTTCCAAGATCAAGAGCTGCATCGCTGAATATCTTTTTATTCCCTGAATTACTTCCACAAAAGACACAAACCCTTGTGAACTTTCCCATAATTAGTTCTCTATTCACCTCCCAAGGAACTAGAAGTAATCACTATAAAAAAGTCCTCCAGCGAGTCTACACATTTTTGTGTATTATATAGTCTTAAACAATCAAGAGTAAATTATTCTTCGGTCCTTGAATTTTCAACACGATTGTAACTTAGTCTTTCCTATCAGAAAACCTACACGTAATTAACTAGTCTCTTGACTCTTGTTAACCATATCATTTAACAGTTTATATTCTTAGGGAAAAAAAACAAAAAAAAACGAATCGATGTTTTAAAAAGACATGATAAGGACTAAGTTGTAACTAAATTAAAAAATTAGAGACTGAAGGATAATGACAGAATAATCAACAACTGTTTTACAGGAATTGACCTATGACACGTGAGCCATGATGGATGCTTCATGGCATGTACAATGTCTAATAATGCAAGTGTATTCGAGTCAAAGCAGATTCTGGCTTTCTTTTCTAATCTTTTCGTTGCATGTCCCATTTGTTTGGTGGGTGCACCAATAACAAATACTGTTCATTTCTTCTTCTTCTTCTTGCAATTAGAGAGAGGTTCCTCTCCTCCTTAGATTGAAAAATCCAATTGGGTTTGTGTTTGTTGGATAGTTTATATCACAAAAACAAAGTCATACCCTAACAATCATTTCAAAATTTTGCTACATAGCCATAGCCATAGCCAGCCCTAAATACCAAAAAAACTTTCAATCCGATAATAATAACTTCTTATAACGAGAAGTCAAGAGTTTAAATTTTAACAGAAAAATTCTATTAAATATTTTAAATATATATATTAAAAAAAAATTTATAGCCAGTCCTAAATCTAGTGCTGGATGCACGATGAAAATTTATGCTTAATTTATTAATTGTGTAGCCAAATATTACTTGATATACGTATAACTTGATTGAAGGAAGGATCTTCACCATCCATTTCTTCTTGAATAAGGACAAATTAACTTGGAAACATTGAGAAATTCTTACAAAATATAGTTAAGAGTAATTAACCTTTTGCCCTAATTACTTTACTTTTCAGATGTTGCTTTTCTTCATAAATTATGCATGTTTGATGTTGGACATAGGTACTTTTAACAATATTTTCACTGACATGTGACAATGAAAGCTTTGCTATCAATAATTACTAAAAATAGGAAAAATTGTATTGAAGAACAGCTAGCAAATTGAAGGAGGCGGCGCTGCATTTGACTTTTCAGGAGGATGTTTTATATGCCTAATTAATTTCATGATTTAAATTTTAGTTTTCTTTTTCCTTTCTTAATTTTTTTTTTTAAAGGAAACAAATGTTGTCTTATTATATAAAAACAAAAGAAGAAGAATAAGAGGAAAAGAAGCATATGTTGTCAACATCCATATCGTTCTTTTGTGAAGAGGTCTTGGTTTAAATCTCTCCTTTTAAGGTTTTCTATTTCCTTAAAATTTTTCAATTGCATTGGAATACAGCAGGACAGAAGATTGACAACCATTTTTAGCGACAATTTTTCTTCATTTAGCAATAATTTAGACCCTGGTTAAATGAAGTTGTTTTATTATTATTATTATTATTATTATTATTATTAATGTTGGTTGGTTAGACCTTATTTAATGATTATCTGTAAGCCTATGATTTTATGATGAAACTTCCTTTGATCTTCAGAACAAATGTACTTACTCACAATTTAGTTTAATAGAAACAGTTAAGAATCATGTAATCAAAATCATTGACATTGTCTTCTCAATCATCTTTTAATGCTTGAAGTGCAATCTTTGTTCTGCTGTCACAATAGCAAGGGTCATTTTGAATCAATTCTGAAATTAAGTGCTTTTTCAATCGGATTTTAAATAGACTGTCTATCCCTGAACTTATTCATTTAAGAGAATTTTTTTTTCTTACTATTTTTCCTAAAATTCAAAATATAATTAATTTGAAATAACATGTGCATTGATTATACTTTTATAGTTCCATTTGATTTTTGAAATAATTAATTTTATAGGGTTAGTTCATGATCATGTACATTTAAGTGTATTATATTGGAGGCAAAACCCACAAGATATAATATAAAAAAATAAATGATTAGAGAAGAGACTCAGATCCTCTTATGCCAGCAAAATCACATAATTTAACATTTTCTTTATGTTGGTATACTGGTAAATGGGTTCCACACCGATTGGGAAGCAAATTGGAGAAGCAAAAGAGCTTGGTATAAAAATGGGTTTAAGCGTGCATTAAAGATGATGATGCTTTTGGGGCCACATTAAACCCACCATTGATTTATTGTAAAGATATTGCATGCTCTATGTCATGAATATTGCTTGACAATCATGCCAATTGCCACGCTAGCTATTGGTGAAGTACAAGCTAACTTCTTTTTTTTTTTTTTTTAAGTCTAAATCATTAGTAGTTAAATGGTACAAACCTTTTTTAAATCTATGTTATTGGATCTTTCTCTAATTATTTTTTATTTGAAATTAGACTCTTAAGTTAGGTTTTTATTAATAAACGTAATTGATTTTTTAATTTTTCCAACTTTTAAAGATGTATTAAAATTTATAGATGTGTTCGCTTTTCTTGCAAAGCTTGTTTTTTTTTTTCTTTCTAAAATGCTATTTAATTGTTTATTTCTTAATATTTAGGAGGAAAAAATATTTATAAGTTTTGATATATTTTTAACTATTAAGAAATTGTAATAAATTGAAGAAAACTCAATAGAAAGATTCAGTTTTAAATTAAAAAAAAAAAAAAAAGTTAGAGAAAGATCCAACTTAAAATTAAAAGTTTAAAAACAATTCTCAAATAATTTAAAGTTTTGGATCATTTAACTATCATTAATTTCTTCATCTAGGTTTAATGTTGTCCCTATAGCTATAGATGATAGAAAAGTGTACCTAAACATATGCTTTTCAGATTGTTAATCAATGTTGGACAAGGTAGGCATCACAAGACTGCTTTCACGTCCAAAGCCTTCTTTTCCCTGTGTGTTTGGCGTCAGTTTAGCTTAATAACATAATATGTGTAATTAAAGAAGGTATTACAGATAACTACATATGTTGTGGTTGTCACATCTAAGGCAAACTAGCTTTTGGGAAATTTTGGTGTATATCCATGAAGGGATGTGGGCTACCCACAAGTCAAATTTGATAGCCCGAGAGATATACATATTGTTTTAATTAGTTACTTGAAGTTGTAAATTATAAATTAGTATTTTTAATTTTGAGAAATGAATTAATTAGTTTTTAAAAAATAATTATTTAATCATTTTTGTTCATTTTATGTTTTTTTGTTAAAAAAATAAATATTATGGAAAGACTCATTGATCAAATAATATTAAATTAAATATGTTCAACATTGACAAATAATTAAGTCTTTAAAAAAATTAATTAATTCGTTTTTAAAAATTAAAAGGACTAATTTATAATTTATTCTTACTTGAATACTAGTCCATGAACAAATGTAATGTTTCCTAATACGTATTACCACAGCATCCCGCCTTCTCTCAGAACATAATAGATCAAATTATTCTTTAGTCCTTGGGGTTTACAGCATGGCTATAGATTAGTCCTTGATGTTTGATACCATATGCCTTAACCCTTACTGACTATCGTCTTACTAAAAAAATCTTGGTTTTTATCTAAGAAATTTTTAAAGGCTTACATTAATTTGGAAGTCGAAAAAAAAAAACTATTTTAACATGTCAAACAAGAGTAAAGAGACTATGTTATCGATTTCCAAATATAAAGGATTAAGTTATAATCACATTAAAACCCCAAGTAGTAAAGTAGTTAATCAGTTTACTTTTTTACTATTAATTAGGTAGGTACATGATTTTATAAAGGTTTTGTGCCCCAATCAAAATTAAGTTTTATAACAGTGATATTTATGTCTATTCTGCTTAGTGGTTTCCAGTTGTTAATTGAGATTAAAATTTATTAAAAGAAAAATTCAATAAACATCAATTATCTTCCTCAAAGCTATCTTTGATAAATAATGGTTGTTCACGAACTAGTTGACAAGTAACTTCAATTGTCAAAATCAAACTAGGTAGAAAGAACTAGTTTACTTTAAACAAGAATCCACTTCTCTCCTGTTAGCAGACCTGATGTTGGTCTTATGTTCCAGAAAATAATTACCAAAACCGACAGTTGGTCATATGATCTCTAATTTGTCTCTGCTAGGCAATTGCAGCCTTCGAGGGCAACTTCCGCATCAATTGAGACTAATTATTTCATGTATGAATTCTGATTAATTTTATTATTTTTTAAGTTAAATCAATTTTAAAATATATCTAATTTTTTTTTAGATTAAATCAGTCCAAATTTGATATCACTAAATCACATCTTTTAATGGTGATTTGTGCTCGCTTAACTTCGGATATATTTTAAAAAAAAAATTAACTAGTTTATATGTTAATTAAGATTTTTTTTTCAAATAATTTTAAAGATTATATATATATTTGAATCAATTTGATACATTTAGAAAAATTCTCATAAATAATGATGTTAAGTTTCTAACTCAAGAAGTTAATTAAGGACCTACCAAGTTAAATCGCTTGGGTCATGTATATACCTTGAACATACCAATATTTATGATTGCCACTTTGACTGATTAGGGACATGAGGCCAAGAAAGATTCCTGTTAGAGGCAATCAAAGCTAAGATCCAAACAGACAAAATGATGATCACCACCACAAATAATAGAGGCAACTTTTACAGGTACCAAAAACACAAGATGCCAAGCTCATATTTTGGTAGTAAAGATGAACCTCCCATTCGCATATTTACTTGCAATCCACAAATTGGAAGATTGGTCTTCTTATTCTCAGGAACAAAAAATGCTTCTTTGTTAGGAAGATTTGGTTTTAGCAGGCTCAGGATGTCAAAGCAGAATTCCTACATGAACAAGCAAGAATGCTCCATCAGAAAACTTCATTTGGATGTGAAATGCAGAGTTGTTCTGCCAATATCTAACCACAGGAGGAATACTATAGAGAATTTAATTAAGAAATTGA